ATGGTCTCATTTTCGCAAATGACTCCTGTCGTCAGATCGAGTTTGGATAGATTCATTTGACTCGAAGTCCTCTGCCATAGTCGTGATAATTGCGAGTACCGGACCGAGGACTCAGCACATTTGTTGGCATTTTGTGTGAATTCCGCCAGTCTTAGCACAATGCTACAACTAATCCAAGAGACAAATATTGTCTCTGGTCTTGGACTTTTCTCACAACTGCCAGCAGTTGCATTCGGACGGAACCATCGAGACCATCAGCTCACCGGACCTCCAACTTCGTTTCAAGAGTTGGATCAAACGGACTGTCAAGTCAGCCTCTCCGGAACCCGAGATGGGTCTGCATCTTGACAAGGGCTGGTTTCGATTTCGATGTCGAAATCCACGCGAAGAAGTGGTCCGACCTTATTTTCGCAACATGGTTGTGCTAGATGAACCCACCTTATCCGAAGTCCTTCGTCTCAGAAGTCATGACGAATTTAAGCGATTTATTGCGGGCTTACTACATTCGCAGACTTTTCGTCTGCACCTTTAGTGAGTTCTGCCAAGCATAGCCATGAGGTGCAAATTGCACAGCAGCAAAACCTGCCAAAACAGCCATGTCGGCGAAATGGCATGGAATGCACCAAGTTCACGGTCCGACACTCAAAATCATCACGACTATGGTGGACGATTTCGGAAAAAGTGGATCCACCCAGTCGCCATGACAACAGGAGTCAATTGCAAAAATGATACCAAACACACTTCCATGCAGAGAAAGGCAGCGGCTGTCGCATCTTGATGTCCACATCTGCGAACAGGTCCAGCGACGGATGTTAAACAAGTTAAGAGCTCAAGTAACCGGTTCACCTTGTTTCTGCAACTTGGTCACGTTGGCTGGACGCTCGACTTGGCACATTCCAAGTTGCGAAAACAAGGTCAACTGACGACTGTGCATTGTGAAATAGAGGCGACAACATTTTGGTATTTGTTAATAAGAAGCCTACTTTATACGAATTTTTGCAGAACACTTTTTTCTCACCACCTCAACCACCGATCGAGAGGCCAGCTCGCAGTTGGCGCAGCCTCAAGACCGACTTGTATTGCGTCCCGATGAGGTCGGTCTGCCAACTTATCGCCTCCAACTTGTCAATTTACAGAAAAGTTCCATTCCCACGAAACGTTCACCGACTGGGCCAAGGCGGGCGTTGCAATTCTTCAGACGAGATGCAAAGTCCTGTGCAACGAGGTTTCCGATGCAATTGCCACGTGGAAATGCCTAGGCTGCTGTGCAAAATGCAGACAATGGCACGAGCGAACGGACCGACGTGAAAGGAAGCCGAGCAAACGCGAGGCGTCAGCGGCGCACGTGAAGAGTGCACTGGCCCACGATCGCCAGCGCCGCCACTGCCACTGCCGCTGCCGCTGCCGCATGACACATCTGGCCAGTTGGTCAAAATGGTTCAACACGAGCCCCCTTCTGATTGGCTGAAACTAGCCAGCCAATGGAATTTGAAAGCCAATCGATGCAGGGCACACGCACAAGCGCTCTGTTTAGACGGCCTCCTCGCTTCGTCTTGCTTTGCTTTGCCTTGCCCTGCCCTGCCCGGCCTTGCTCTGCTCTGCTCTACTTTACTCTACGCTACGCTGCTCTGCTCTTGTCTGCCCGGCCTTGCCGGCCCGCCGGGCACCTGGCCAGTCTGCCAGGCCGGGCACCACCTGTCGGCCCGACTTCCGACTTGGTCATAGGCTGGGGCCGAGTGCCCATTGGACGAGCCGTG